CTGTCGACTCTTGCTTGCCCTGCAGACCGCTGCTGCAGGAGGGCCCGGGTGGGTGGGCCGCTTGAGCGTTCGTGAACGGCGGTCACAGCTAGTGTCAGCTGTTCGCACCTTTTCTACTCCACATTGCTTCTCTGCTGTCGACTCTTGCTTGCCCTGCAGACCGCTGCTGCGCCAGCTCCCATTGCTTTCCCATCTTTTGGGTCTGTGCCCTTTGAGAAAAAGTAGAACCAAGTAGCCGGGGGGCAGGCGACTACCCATCAGCACCTGCAACTTCAGGCTCACTTCAGGAAAAGCTCGGGCCAGATCATGGATCCTGTCTTTCACACGAACTGGTAGTTGGGGAAAAAAAGGTCGAGGAAGAAGCTTCTTGGAGGTATATCTCCATTGTGCGAGCGCTGATCCAACGACCTCTCCTTCTGACCAGCTCTGAATCCTCCGTGACCATGAGCAAGTGAGTTGCACCACCTGCTCTCAGGCTACCTAGGTCTAGGGGACGCCCAAGTGGCCCCTGAACCGTCGGCAACCCCAACGCTTCCAACAACTGCTTGAACCTAGTTCTCAAGGCTTGGGGCGACCATGGCCAGAGTCTGGCTGAAGGATGCAAATCCTCATATATACTTACAATCACTCCAACAAGGTCCTGCCAATCTAGCCGTGCCAACTGGTGCCTTGCGGCACGGAAGCGGGTCTTCGGTTCGCCGACCCTCAACATCACTGTCCACAATGCTCCGCCGGTATCCACCGGCAAAACCAGGTCTGAGCGCTTTGCTGCCACCACCTCACCTATCCTGCATATAGCTCCCCAGGAAAGTAGGATTGCACCTGCGACCCGGGGCCAACCCCAAACAATAGCTAGAGTAGTTGCTGCAAGCATGACCTGGTACGGACAGGCAACGTGGTGCTCATAGGGCTCCTCGCGGAGCCAGCTGAAAGCCAGGTCCCAGGCCCCACTAAGAAGCCGACGGACCCCCGGTTGCTGAGCTCCAATGCTGTTTATGGTCTCGGCGTAGTGGCTGTATGGTCGGCCTGAGGTGTACAAATCAATGCCGTACCTTGTCAGCAGATGAATCAGCTGCTCCGGCTCCTTTGGCGCTAGGTTCAAAAGCTGTTGCAACAAAACACCACGCTCTCTCAACCAATCTGAAAAACATTGCAGCAACCGGTCTCTGTTTGTTTTAGTGGACTGTTGAACTGGGCGACCAAACTCTAACGGCTTCTCGACGCGGGCCAGAGCCCTGCTTTCATCTGCAGTATGCCGGGGGCGCATGCCATGGCTCAAAGCTAGCAACACCGCTAGGAGCTGCCAGCAAAAAAAGAAACCTAGCTAGTCCTCCGCAAGGGCCCTCCCCCGGAAATCCAAGGGTGGAGTCGAAGTCCTGCAAGACCTCATGCAAAGACATGGGGAGCTTGGAGGACCTCAAACGGCTCTGGGGCTGCAGAAAAGAGGAGTGCAAAAATCCATGAGCAAGAAGGATACCCAGGGTCAAGCTGGCCCAATTCGAGGCCCAGCGACGAAGCTTTGGCATGGCAGCCATTGAGTAAAGTCCATTGAAATCCAAGAAGTCCATGAAGCAAGAGTCACTCTGTGGAGTTCGAAGTGGCACATCTCGAGTCGGGTCATCTGACGGGTTGAGACGAGTGGGACAAAACAATCCCGCCGCGTACACAGCAAAAGCCTGGCTAAGGGCAAAGGTCTTGCGAAGGAGCGGCGCTAGTGCACGAGATGATGACCGCCCTTTTGAGCTTGCGCGCAAAGCCACGTAGGAGTCCAGGAGGAAACAGAAGCGGCCGCCACCTCTTCGGGCCGCCTTCTTCATAGCCTGGAAAAGGCTAGCAAGCTCCAAGATGTTGATATGGGAGTTTCCCTTCCATTTCCACGATGACGACACCTCCCAGCAGGCTTTCTTTGCCAGCTCATTTGTGAGCAAGCCCTCCAAACCTGTAGTCTTGATGTCGACCCTGTTCAATGCTTTTGATTCAGCTCGTAAGTGCTTGTGGAAGAGCTTTGCAAGAGAGGCTGCCAGTGCAGGACAGTAAACTGCCGAACCTTTTGTCAGCGCTCCCTCTATACGAACGTGCTCATGATCTCGGGTGCAAGGATGACAAATTTCATGTGGCTGCATGTTGGCTGTCAAGAACCGGAACTCCTTTTGGAAAGGGCTTCCAAAGGAACATGAGGCTGTGAAAGTCTCCGCAACCCCCTCCAGGCTCAATAGGTAGGCCCACTCTGTCAACCAGGCCATCTTGCTCCTCCGTGGTGTTTCCAGCAGAGCGAAAACTTGTTCATGTAGAGCACACCAAAGTAAACATAGGCAGAAAAAAAGCTAAACGATTTCCGACCCATACTTTTGTGCTCTTTTGATTGAATCCTCTTGGGCACTTGTAGGACCTCACCATGGGATGTGCTGCTGCTGAAAAAGTGGTACAAGGCGGCTCCAGCATCAAAGCACGAACTCTTGCTGATTGCACCAAGTACAGCAGCCACTCCAAGGTCCTTGTCTTTGTCATGTCATAGTGTGGCGAGTAGGAGAGGTCGATGATGGGGCCGACTGTATAGCCCAACATTGCCATTTGCTCCGAAACAACCCCACTGCCACCACAGACCTCGATGAAATCAAAGACCTGTGCCAAGGGCCTCTCAACAGGAGGCGGAAGATCTGCTCCGGTCTCAAAGGGGTCGCCAAACTCCTCCAGCATCTCCTCCCAATCCTCCTCCTCAAAGCCCCCCATGTGATTTGAGAATGGTCTTCGGGATGCTCTCCAGCAAAACGTGGCCACCTTTGAAGTCTCCGGACTGCCACAGTGCTTCCGCAACTCGCTTGGGGATCCTCGCCTCACACACAGCCCCTTTTGATGTGGATGCATCGGCGCAGAAGATGGTCTGACTCACCTCTGCCTTGATGTTTGAAACAAGCACTGGCAGGAAAACTCCGCACAGGACCAACTCATTGGCTGC